TTCAATCATCTTTTTTCCCAAGAACAGCAAAACTGTGGAACACTCTCCCCCTTTCGGTCTTCTCTTCAACATATAACATCCATATTTTTAAACGCAGAATCAACAAGCTGGCTAAAGCTTGAATGTTCCCCACACATTCCGACTTACAGTACATCTTCGGATCATGGGGTTTACCCTTTTTACTGTATTCACTTTCGTGTAACTAAAAAAATGAGTGAAAACCGGAAAGAATAGTCGGGGCCACAAAAGAATAAACTGTCTCTAGTACACATATATATACGTATTATATATTTAGGCAGACATATAGTTAGGTAGATAGTTCGATAGATAGATAGATAGANGATAGATAGATAGATAGATAGATAGATAGATAGATAGATAGATAGATAGACAGATAAAGTAGTCACAGAAAAAATTACGGACATCAATTCAACCACAGAAGCACTCTGCGATAGACAAAACTGTAAGTGTTTGCATAACTGAAAACAACATTATCCGAGTGCGTAGTCTTTTGTCCAATGTGTTCTAATCGATTGAGCTTAAGTTTCAGCCGTCTACCACGAAGATTATTTAACAATTTGGAAAGGCTTCCTTGGACCTGTAAGAAGTGAATTGTTGCTTTTTAACAGAGTGCAAGAAAAAGGGCAGCTTTGTTTTTCTGGAAAGAGGAGTTGTTTTTCTTAGGCATAGGGGAATTGTGAATCACCTGGGCGGTCAATCGGAATACCATCAAACTGGAACTGGACACACGGTACTCCTCGGGCAGTTCAGTTGTCGGTGAATCTCAACTATAAGCTGCTTTGGTTTTGGCTTAAGAGAACATGTAAAACTGACAATGCCTATTTTTGAAAAATAAACGGTATTTAGAGCAGCCGCTTTAACGGTGATTCGATGTCAGTTTCGTCTCCGTCCATAGCAGATTAAACCGATCAATGGCGATCTGCATGAACATATATGAAAAATCACATTTTTCAATCAGGTAGACGATAGAGTTTAAGAGATAAAAGATGAAAACCAATCGGTAGAATGTTCTAAAGATGTTGAACCAAATCAAGCTGAAATAGGAGCTTTACGGAAAGGTGGTCATAGCGCGAGCAAACATGAGGTTTGGTAAGTGTAAAACGAGGCGGCAGAACAAGTCTGTCGTCGTGGTATTGAGATGCTTCTCAGTTGTAGGATTTTTTCGCTGGATTAGCCATGGTAACAGACAAGTATCACAAGAATGTCTTCACAAAATACTTCTGTGGTGATAAACGCCAACGGAAATCTTTACATACACTAGCAAACGTCAAAGCGAAAAACAAATAATAGGGAAGGCATTGCCTCAAATCAAGTGTACGAAACACGTCAGACTACAAGACATTCAAACCGAAGGTGCCGAAGGGGTTTATGTCAAATGTATTTCGAACAGTGAAATAAAACAGTTGTAGAAATATTGCGCTTTTGAACCCAAAGATACCTTGAGTACCGACTGCAGGCTGATCCGTTCTGATGGTACCAATCAAGACCACCTGCCTCATGGCACCTTTGGCCAGTCTGCGAAACATGGTCAGTGAGGTAATATATAAGCTATTGTGACCCATTTAACCATTGATGTGACGCCATCAATGGGGTTCATTGAAACCTACCTCACTGCTGCCTACAATGCTGTATGTACTGCCTTTTCAAAAAGGCGACCTGTTTCCCACTCGAGTTGAAACAGTCCACGACTGCACGTTGTGTCTGTTTTTTTGGGTTATATAAACATATAAACTTGCTCAACAAGACATTGTGTAATCGGTCTCACTGTAAAGCAGCTCTTCCGACACAGCTAGCCGCTTTATTTTCCATTCGGGGCTTGATCGATGTGTGAAATAGTGTACGTCATCCTTATGCATGATACGTGTTCGGCATTGCTGTTGACATGCCAGTTTCGTGACAGTGTTCCAATGCAATTCACCAGATATTTAGTCCGTGATGGCTATTGTTGCCTCATGATGTATATATGTTTACTGAGCCCATTGTCTGGAACATTGGATATTTAGTTTCGAAACGTTTTGAACAGTGGACTAAGCGAATCAGTTTAGGTCTACTGTGTAGGCAAAACATTCTGTACATTAATATGCTCACAAGTGGAAATCAGGTGTGTGGCAAGACACCACACACACCACCATCTCTGCTGGTGCACCATTCAGTTATGCATTGCTCAGTTTTTGAGATTTTATTCAGTTTCGTCATAAAATAGATTGATTACCGTTGGGAAAGTGATTGATGCAAGCAGAACATGTCTTCCCCTCACATCAGTTGGGACTGCGAATAATATTTGAACACACCAAGCACCAATCCGTCATTTTGTGCTACAAGCTTCAATAAGGTTTCTACTCGTTCATCTGATAGACGTCGTCCAGGACCAGAAAACCGCAAGCGTCCATAGTCTTAGCGTAAACAGGGGAGGCATTTTTATCTATTTAAGACTAGTTGATAGGATTACGAAACGCTCTGATTTAGAAACACAACTGCAATCACCCAGAAAGGGCGAATTGGGCACCAATCTGTCGATTTATAATTACAATCCATTAGGCAAAAGCACTGCCTTCCTAAAGATAAATTGTAGAGCGTGTTTCGTTTGACCTTGACAGAATAAGAGCCATATTTTCCATGTTTGCTATATCTGAACTGTAATAAAATGCATTGCATTTAAATGTTTCGATCGATCGATAGTACTGTCCAATTCTTCGAATGTATAGCGTATTCTATCTGGGAGAGCAAGGCAAATACTAATGTTTTTTAGCCCAAAAATTGATATCCAAAAACAAACAACCTTGTCTGTTACAGTCAAGATGTGATGAATCGATGTGGTCATAGGTTTATTGCATGCATATCCCAGACAAACTGTGTCCGTCAGCATGCAATTCCAAGGTTTCTTATTCACAGTAAAACATCTCGTGGTTGGCTCGGGCCACCAAATCACTGTTTACTTTTAGCGATCATTCATCAAATGTGAAATATTGATATTAAAAGCGTGTATATTCACACCAGATTCGAAAGTCACTCAAGCGGTACACCGAACATCTCTCCTTCAGTATGGCTCAGAGCAATTTTGATGCCAGCTGTTGGCATAACCATGCAAACCGATTTCACAAGGATGCTATTGAACAATTTTCTATGTTTCAGACTAGGAAATTTGGAATAATCCATTCGATTGTTCCCAGGCACTGTTCACGTTTCCAATCTGAATAGGGATACACTGTACGCATTTCTGACGAGTCCCAAACCAGATGAAATGGCTCTTTGTTGGTCATTGCAAATCTTTCCATCGCTTATAAACAATTTCCAATCGAGGGTTTTTAGTACTTTGCCCAGGTTTATCTGTTGAGCAGACTAAATTATGGTGATCTTTGTGGTTTAAGACTACTCTCGAAAATAGCTATGAGTCCAGGATTTTTCCAATACAAATTCGTGATTGAAGTTTGGAATGTTGTATACCAATGGCAAATATCACCATTATGGAAAAATGCATCAGAGCGAGAACAAGCATCATCACAGAACCGGGTTGAAATCAACTGTTTCAAGTTATCTCTTCAGCCGTGTGCACAGACATTCATGTGAAATTTCGTTCAGGAAAATGACAAACCTTTAAACATCAAAAACATTCGACTAGGCAAAATCAGTGCGAAGGTCAAAGGTCACTAGTCACACTCGAGTTAAATAGAGGAAAAGGGTGAAAGAATATGTTTATCGATCGAGTGTTTTTGATGTAAAAAGATTTATCGTTGTCCTGATCGAACTTTCACAGGGATTTTGGTACACAGCTGAAGAGAGAGAAACACAAAGCACAGCTGAATTTAACCCGGTTCTGTGATGATAGTTGTTCTCGCTGTTTTGAAATTCCTCAAGGGAACTGGATGTATGAAATTAGAGAAAAATAATTTGTGCACTTAAGTGAAAAACTGGGCTCAGCTTGTATTGCATACGCATTGAAATGGTCCGGGTTCTATTCAAACGTATTTGACCAAACCTGCTTGTTTAATGATTTACTGTACTTTTTGTATTAACTTGAATTTTCCAACAGAAAATCCACTCATAAAATGTCGCGAACTAGGAAAAAAAGAATGAATGAATGAATGAATAAATGAAATCTGGCGTCCCTGTGAATTCGCGATGTCTGTCAGGCAAAATTTGTGCGGGATCGTAAAATTTATTACCTGCTTTGGTGTTGCCGGAAGGCCTTAGTCTGTGTCTTGTGTTATTCATTTGGGAGTTGCCATCTCACTATGGCACCAATGTCAAAGGCAGAATTACGGATCGCTGGCGCGCGGGGGGGGGGGGGGGGGGGGGGGGNNNTGTGTAATAAAGATGAGACGTTTGCGGTATACCCGTTTCCTCTTAGGCATGGTATAGTAGCGGTGAAGGAAATCCTGACGGCGTCGGTTGTTTGGCCTTGGTGATGGTTTACCCGATATTTGAAATTCCCTTTTGTTTAGTTCAAACGGGGGGACGAAGAAGGAGGAATCACAAAAACATTGGGCTTGATAGCTAGCTTGATATCTAAGAACGAATTGACCGAGCTCCGTGATTGAATAGCACGTCTGCCGGTGAATGCAAGTCAACGAGAGTTTTGTTTTTGTCTATTCACAAGCCGGTCGAAAAATATGCAATACGTAACAATATTAGTAATCACTAGAATGTATTCATCACTATTGTTCGGTAACGTGATTGTACAACACACGTTTCAAAATATCAGCCGGGCCTAATTGAATTATTATGAAAATAACGAAATTGTGTACGGATTTTGTTTACGACAAAACTATGGATATTCAGAACTTGTGTGTTGCTTGCCTGTGATCAAAATCGCAGATTAGTGAAAACATTCTAAAAGGCAGTCACGCAATGTGGGTCGGAAATCAATCACTGAGTACTAATGCAAATCATGTGTTAGCAGATCCGGGTTAGGCAGTGAATTTATGGGGTGCTCCCCTGGATGCAAAATGGTACACCCTTGACACTCCAATGATCTGTTGCCCCCAGATTCCGATAACGCACTTGTCGCGTGACCTAAACATGCTCGCTCTAAACTTATTTAGCTCTATGTTTATCCCAGAAAGAATCAAGTTATCTTCCACCAGTAAACATTCAACTTGTATTGCGCACATAAAAGCCGTCCGTGTCTGTGTATGGAGTGGAGAGGAGAGGAGGTGTACAAATTTGTATGACCACCGTTGCGGATAGGCTTTGGTTTTGTACACGGAACACAGAAACGTCATAAGGGCTTATGTTCAGCAATATTCATGGCAGAAACGTGCCTCTCTAGGTAGTGTACCCACAGATTTATTTTGGGGCACGTAATATTTGTGAATCAGTTCAATATGAATTATACAGTAACCCCTTACTTATTACTTATCTATACGTTACCGAAATACACTGTGAAGTTTTCGGCTCAATCCGTGGCCCATAGTTCAATACATTTGCGCTCGAAAGTTAGAAGATAAAGCGGCAGAGGAGGTAGCGAGATTTACAAACCCTTAAGTAGTAAGTCCAAAATGACTTTAAGGCCAAGTGATAGCACAGTCCGTTTTTTTTCTCGACCAGTTGATCAGCAAAGTTTCACAATGATCCCATGTGAGGATATTTCCACCGGGCACTGAAACACACGAATCCACGTTCCTAGTGTACAATTAATGGTTCTGTCTAGTGGATCGATTTAAAAATGCCCCTTCAGAAAGGCCCAGCGTGCGATCAAAAACTAAACCGTGAGACTGGCGATAGCCGTACGTATATTCGATAGGACGTGTCAATTAGAAAACGCTTTACGATTTTAAATTACGCAGTAAGTAGTTTATTGCAGGCTCAAACAAACGAGTTGGAATTGAGTTCAGCAGCGGCTGTGTCAAACACACAAAATTTCTCTAAATGCTTCTGTTCAGTTCTTTATTCGATGTAAGTGTTTGACTGGTATGTCAGTTGTTCAGAATTTTACATTTGACGCATTGAGATAAACGATTGATAGGTGAATGTTTCAGTCTCGTGTATGTGATTTTGTAAGCCCGTGGATTATCGTTTAATCCACCTAGGGATGACGAGCTATCGGCAAACGAGGGTGAATCTCAACTGCTGACCTCGTGTGTTACAGTATTGCATTTCCGACCAATCATTGCCACCGCTCACTCGTCCATGTCTCATCAAGCAAGCCACTGGTGTGGTAGCTCAGGATTGACGATTCTCAGCACAGAATAGTTGATCGCGGCATTTCGATAAAACCGAAGTTGAATAGCCTAATTGT